AATTACGAGTGCTGCCTGTAAATGCACAGAAAAAAAAATACAAACAACAACAACAAAAGCAGAAGTTTTCGGGCAATAACTGCTAAGCGGGGTTATTGGTAGAAGAGGGTGTGGGTAGGAGGTACGGGACGGTCAAGGCCTGCAGTGTTGGCCAGTTGCTGGCCAATTGTAATGCATATTTGATTTGTATTTACGTACAGAGCAGAACAAATCGATTGTCATGCGAAAGCGGCGCGAGTTGGGAGCCAGAACAAATGTTTTGCCATTACCAGCAACAACAACAACAACAACAACAACAACAACAGCAAAAAGAACAAGCAACAGCAACAACCGCAATTGCAACACCATAACAGAGAGAGCAAATTTTAAAGGAGCAGAAATAAATAAGCGCTGCATTCATGGCATTCCATAAAAGTTAATGAAACTAATGGACGAGCCAAGGACTGCGCGGCGTATACGCAATATTTCTGGCTGGCTGGCTGTCTGGCTGATTGTCTGGCAATTGAAACCTGAAATTAAGCGGAAAAAATTAAATGCATTTTATTGTTGTTATCGACAATGGCAAACGGAAAGCAGTCCATTCATAAAAATGCCAAACACAGCAGCAGCAACAACAACAACAACAACAACAATTGGCAGGCAGATAGCAACATCTCGAAAAATCGAAAAATCAAAACAATTCGATGTAAACATTTACCTCGCCGCGCATGTTTATATCAAACGCAACAAAATATAATACGATAGCCCGACTTTTGGGGAGGGCTGCTGCTGCTGTTTATTGGCCGATTGCTTGATTGGCTGCGATGTGACTGAAGAAATGTCTATAAATATCCCGTCGACTAACCAAATAAACAGAATCCATCGCAGCGTGAACTTTGCCAGCGTTCAGCTCATTGTTTATTCGAATGGTGCTTTTTACCTAATCAATTTGTTGGTATTTCAATGGAATTTTCATATTATCAAATTGCATTCATAATTTTTATGCCCAATAAGATTGAGTAGCATTCAATTTTGATGGTAAATGTAAATATAATCGACACTATAATTAGAAGAACGAGAGACTGTTAAGTTAGTGTATGGTTTCTCATGATTAAAAGCAGCTCTTAAAAGCTTCTCAGGAAGAAACATAGTTTAAATTGATTTCACATTTTGCAAACGTTTTTATTGTCTTCCGCAATATTAAGCCAGTAACAAGTTTGCCCACTAGGAAACCTGTTTATTTGGACTTTGCTTTCTTATTGTTTCGCTAATAGAGTTATTGCTGCTGTTAAACACTTTAACTAAATATCTATCTTGACAGAATTATTAGCGCATTTGCAATTAATTTGTTTCTAATTGCCGATATGTGCAAAGTTTTGCTTTTAAACAAAAGCAAAGAATGCCCTTAAATGGAACGTAAGAATGCAGACAAACACTTGAACTTGAGCAGCGGCAACAACAAAAATACTGTCTAGGGCTGTCAGCTGAAATGTTACAGCACACACAACACACACACACACACACACACTCGTATATATATTCTTATGCGCTCGTTTTACATGTTTGTGTGTCAGAAAACTGTCAGGCTGCATTTCATATGGCTCATCTGGACGAAGGCTGTCACAGCGGGACGTACGGCATGTGACATTGCCGTGGATGTGAAACCGGCGGAGCCTCGGACTCGGACCACGGCGACAGACTCTTCTTCACAGACAGTTTTCACTAATTATCTGACACGCTGCTAGGGGCCGAGACCGAAACTGAAACTGAAACAGAAACAGAAACAGAAGCTGGGGACGGGTGGTGGCTGGTGGCTGGGTGCAGGGCAGGGCAGGGCCAGGAGATACTGATGCTGCAGCTCGTTGCGGCCAAGGACTCATTTTGAATGTGCATACACACACACACACACACGCACGCACACACATACAGCAAAGCACACACAAACTTTACGTGCGCATCTCAGAACTCTAATTTCAAAGGTCGTGTCAGTGCAAAAAGCGTTTGCTGTTTGTACTGTTTTTATTTACATACCCTACATTCGAAGACAACGCAAGAAAGGGTATTTTAAAATGTTGGAAATATGTTGAAAGGCAACGCAGAAATGCAGATAATCTCAGAGATTATAACTTTTAAATTAGGAAATGTTAAATAGAGTTTTATGTTAGTTTTGCCTGTTGCTGTTACAGTTTCTGTTAGTGTTACTTTTAGATATTATTCATATGTTAATGTAACAGTTGCTGTTGTTGTGACTATCGCTGTTAATGTAATACGCCTAAAGATCTTTAATATGAACTTTAACTTACGAACTTATAGAGTATCTCTTAGTTAGGCAGTGGCTGAACATGGCCTTTTGCTTCTTTTTGTTTTTGCCGCTGAGCCTCTCTCGTTTCGGTGTCATGTGTTTTAAGCCATGTGCATGTTTTATTTGGCATTCGCCTTTTGTGTATGCGCTGCATTCGCCACCACGCCCACTAAATTGTTTGAAGGCCGCCGCGGCGAAAAGAGGCGTCAATAATTGAATACCCACTTGAGAGCATCGGGCATATGCAATGTTGATTAAATTTAAGCAGCCGCCGTGGGCCCAGCTAATGGCATTTAAAATTCTGAAACTGATATCGGTGGCTAATTGCACTCCATAAATATTAACAACAGCCATGGGCGAGTGCGCCAATGCGATCAGCCGATTTTTAAGCTAGCCATAATCAAACTTTGAATATCACGTATACGCCAAACTGTACAAAATGTATGTGGCCCACTGTGTGCTCGGCCCAAAGCTCAGTACACTAATTAGGCATTATTAATGCTTGCCATTGATATCTGAAACTGAAAGTAACTCGCTCGCAAATACAATCAAATAAAATTTAATGGAATAAAAGTGCCGAGTGCTTGAGTCCAACAAATTTACCGTTGACAAAAACACACAGTTGCATACCAGCACGTTACCATTAATGCTCACCCACACACACACACACACACACACACACTCTCGCATGGGCAGCAACAAGCAGCAAACGCATGCTGGTTAACAGCGCTTTAACAGCAAGTGAGCGCTGCTCAAAGAGAGCGAAAGAGAGATAGAGAGAGAGAGTGTGGGAGCTAGCTCAGCAACAGGACACGCTCTCCCGCTCAACTGTTGAGCGAGCGCTGCTGCTGCGGCTGTTATTTACATTTTGCGGCAGCAACAGTTATAATTTTTGCCTTGCCTTCTCTTTATGTCCTCGAATGATTTATTTTTGGACTGGCTGCGACGCCAGCAGCGGCCCTGCCGAGTTAAGGCATGTGGTTTTGTTTAGATTTATGCGTGCGCTCTCGCTCTCACCACCCTCTCACCCTCACCCGCTGCTCTCCACCACAGCCCACTGCCAGCTTGTGTTTGCACGCTTCGTTTGTTTGATATTGTATTCTGCAGCAGAGAGGCGGGCAGATAAGATGCTAAGCACTCGGGCTATGGCAATAGCAAATGCGGTTAACTTTGCCCATGCAAAGTGCAAATTTATGCATTCAACTTTTTCTATTACCCGGCCGTATCGTTTAATTAGCGCCTGCCACATGCCATTTAAATGCACGCGTTTCAGCTCTAGCCCAAATGCGCAACTTTCTTCAGGGCTGTCCGCCTTTGCCATGTTTTGCATTTAATCACTTTTTGTTGTTGCTGCTGTTGATATTGCGGTTGATGGCGCCATTGTTGTGACCTTTTTTTCTGCGCCATTTGCATCTCTGTCGCTGGCAGGCCTACCAACCAGGCACTAATACATAAGCTACGTTAGCTATGTGTGATTGTGTTTTTGCATATTTGAAATGTCGCCGTCAACATGCACAGTAGAGCACTGCGACTGTGACTGTGGAAATGAAAACAATATCCATTTCCATTGTATATTTTTATTTGCTGGCAACGACAGCAGCAGCAGCAGCGGCAGAAGAAAGCGCAACGGCCGTGGGGAGACCTGTCGCTGGCACACGCCCAATGGCCCAGAGCACAGTGTCCCAGTGTCCCAGTGCCACAGCAGCAGCTGTAACTGCAGCTCCCCAGTGGCAAAGAGTTGCCAACATCAAATACAACTTTAACTTAACGGTTACTTTAGCTGTTAAAATGCAGCTTTTCGTCAAGTTTCGTTCGAGCCGTATCGTAAAACGCATTCCTTTTATGCCATTGCACACAAATAAACAAATAACTTGATTTGTGTGTAAACAGGCCTAGTTAATTTCATGTAAACTGAATTTAAAGCCAAATATTTATATTACCTATTGCTTCAGGAATGCACATAAAAGAACATTTTGCTTTGATGTTACGTTCAGTTTGTAACAGACACGTGTTATGTGAATGTTAACATCATGTTAACTTCACTGTTGTTTAAGAAGGGAAAATCTGATTTTGGCGCAGTTTCAATTGAATTCTGCACCAATGTGAAAAAGGCGCACCTGTGCGTGATTGTGTGTGTGCGTGCAACAAGTAGGAAGCAGCATTCATGAATAAAAAACGAATCAGAATTTGAATCACAAAAATGTGCAAAACTATTGGCAAACTGTTGACGCAGTCAGCGTGTCCTCGTGAAGCAGGAGCTGGCATGCGTCCTTGTCTCCTGGCGGGCTATTGAACCGCTCACCCATTTGTGTATTTGCCAGTCTAATGTTTTTTTTCCACTGTCTTCGTTGCAGGTGTGCGCCATTTGAACGTAAGCGCCACTCGAAGCCACTTGAAGTCACAATAGAGATTCATTGAGTGGCCATTGAGCGGGAAACGAGAGTGCCGAAACGGCCAACAGCTGGGCAAATATGCGGTGCGACAGCATAAGATCCATGTGGCCGTCAGCTTGTGGTATGGCAAGCACATGACAAGGGCCAGCAGCAGGACGAGGACGAAGACGAGGACGAGGACGTGGCAAGCGTGTATCAACGATCAACGGCAGCCAGGCCGACAATAATGCAAATAGTCGTAAACATAAACCTTAACAACAACAACAAGAACAACAGAAACAAACAGAAGCAACACTTTGAGCAGAGAAAGTCAACTGGTTGGCAACATGGCGGATGCGGACGATAGCAACAGTGGCGAGGGCAGCGGCGGCGGCAGCGGCGGGGCCGGAATTGAGTCGCGCCGCGATTCGCTGCAGATGCTCACGAAGCTGGACAAGGCGGTGTCCACAAATGACGTATTGCTGGATCTGCAGCGGGCGCTCACTTACGAGGCGGTGTTCAGCACGCTGGTGCAGCACAAGATGCAGGCCCTGAAGCGCGACTATGAGGCCCACAAGCGTGCCAAGCGCAAGAAGCGCAAGAAGTCCATCGGCCGCATTTTGTTGCCGCGCAAGCTCTTTGGTGCACGCCGCTCCAGCAAGGATGACTCCGACGCGGATGATGCGGACGAGGAGGAGGTGCTGCCAGGCAGAAGCCAAGCCAAGACTGCCCCAAGCCATGCCCATGACATTCAGTTGGCCTCCGGCTCACTGCCAGCGCCTCGGGCGTCAGTGCTGGCCACGGAGCCGGCGCCGGAGGACAGCGTGGCCAGCACGCTGAGCAATTCGTCGGGTCACCAGCCACGGCACAGCCACAGTCTGCTGGTGCGAGCGCAGACGCATACGCCCGCCCAGCTGCCGGCGCAGCGGGACAACAGCAGCAGCTCCGATGAGAATGTAGGGAAAGCAGTGCGGCAGCTCGAGCCCGGGCCCAGACATTCCGTGAGCACAACGACCAACGGCGACCCGGCAGACTATCTGACACCGATTGCCTCTTGCTATGACAATACCTCGGCGACGGCGACGGCAACTGTGATTGGCGGCACACATGTCCTGCACAGCTCCACCCTGGCGGATGACAGTCTGACGGCTTCGCTGCGCGGCAGCCTCGAGAGTCTGTCCTACTCCAGTTCGCGCTGCACGGTCAGCTTCGGCGGTGCCGAGATCATTGCCCTGGCCCATGCCGATGCCGAGACACGCGAGCGCCTGCGCCTGGCCAAACGGTTGCGCATCCTGGAAGCCAAGTCGATTAGTGCACAATGCAGCCCCATTTTTCCACGCAGCGTGGCGCGCTCCTTGGCGCTGCCAATGCCGCAGCAGGCGGTGAGTAAAGCCTAAAGTGGACTAAGATTAAACACAAATACATTGAGACCAGAGGCAGTAAAGCGACATAACTTCGCGACGGATCTTGGCGAGATTATGTCGCTTTAAGTTGGCATAAATCCGCCGTGGATTCTTGATTCTCGCCCTGATCCATGGCGGACAACTATAGTAACAGTAACAGCCCTGTTAATGTCAATAAGGAAGCAAGAATCTAATACTGTTACTGCTAATATTACTGCTGCTGTTAATGTTTAAGGTACCGTTAGCGATAATGTAAAGCAGTTATTTGTTATGGTGTCTGATCCGCTTGATTCCATGCACTTTCTAATAAACTTATAATAGTCTTAGAAAGGTATACAAATTGGGTCATGAAATATGCATCAACCAAAGTAGATGTTTCCCCAGTTTTTACTCTACCCTATCCCCCCTTCTCTCTCTCTCTCTCTCTCTCTGTTTCTCGTCCCTCTTTTCAGCGCATCCACGTGAATGTTCCCTCCAGCCTGGCCAGGCCGCCGCCGCCGCCCCCGCCCCCGCCCCCGCACGTGGCTGTGGAAATCGAAGCGCTGCGTGTGCCACAGACTCAGCCAATGCATCAGCCGCCTGAGGCGATGCCGCTGTCGCAGCGCAAGCGGCTGCTGCCCAAACAGCTGTCCTGCACCGAAAGCTACTCGGGCGCTGGCAGCGACTTTGACGGCGCCGGCGCCGCCGCCGCCTATGCGCGTTACTTTTCGCGACAGAATACGTCAGAGGATAGCGCCAATGTGACTGTCAGCACGGTGCTGGCCCAGAGCGACTCGCAGTCGCTGCACGCACTGCCCAGCTATGCGAACACGCCGACAGCGTCGGCCGGACGGGAGCCGGAACGCCTCAAGTCGCGCAGCACCGGGTTGCTGGCCATACGTCGGCAGCGCATACCGGAGGCGACTGTCATTCCTATGGAGTCGCAGGAGGAGCAGCCATTGCCGGCACAGCTGGCCGAGAAGCTGCAGCGCATGACCTCAACCTCAACGGGTTCCAGTGTGGCGCCCACTGGCTGCTGCAGTGCAGCCAAGTCTGTGGCGTCACGCGCCAAAGAGAAACACTTTCAAAGCTTTAAGCCCACGCTGGCCATGTCTGCGGCGACGGCAGCCCAAAGCACCGGCAGCGACGATGAGTACCGACGCCGCAAACGGAAGTACAGTAAGTCTAGCTGCTGTCAAGCCAAATCTTATAACTATATAACCCTTTTATCTTTATTGCCGCAGAACGACATCATCGCTGTTCGGATCCAGCGCTGGTCTATCCCACGCCCAATGGCCTGCAGCAATGTGTACATGTGCTTGGCCAGACGCCCGATGCCCAGCCCATGTAAGTCCACATACCATTCCACACCCATGCCCATGCCGAACACATGCATGTCGACAAACGCGTCGCCTGTCATTTAATGTCATTTATTACCCGCAGACAATGCCCCTATGCCGAGGACTCGCCCTGCGACCTGCAGCTGGACATGGACACTGACGGTGATAAAATCGACGACCTTGAGCACATTATGCCTGGCGGCGGTCATCAGCGACATCGCAGAAAGCATCGGTAAGTCCCATACGCTATCGCCACATGTCCATCAAACTGTTAGTTTACAGTGGAACGATGGTCAAAAATAAACTAATATAATTTTTAATTGACTCGAATATGTAAACAAGTAACTATTCCAAGTTAACTAACCTAGTAAGCAGGGTAACAATAGTAAGTCAGTAACAGAGATGGAAATAAGAGACGGTAACGTAAACTGTAACAATTGTAGTAACAGAGGCAGTAACAGAAGATGTAACAGCCCTGTTAAGTGAATTAAGGAAGCAACAATCTGGTACTGTTAGTGCTAATGTAACGTCGCTGCTAATGGAACTAGTGTTGATTCTGATTCTGTTACAGTTACAGCTATGGTTATTGGACTTCTAGAGCTCCATATCCATCTATCCCTAAGACTTTAATAAGATGACTAAATTTGTATTAACTGAAGAACTATATTGTAATCTTACATTATATTTCTAACGTGATATTTGCTTCATATATTCTACTTTCACAACCATTGTACTTTCCGGCTATTTGCCCAAGCTAAGAAATGATTAGAGAACTTATAAATGAATGCGCATTAGGGCCATTGATGGACGTTTTGGGGCAGCTGGCAAGTTGGCCAGTTGGTCAGCTGTGCAGTAACAATAGCGACATCCTTTGATGTCCTTGGGCTGCACTAATAAATGTGTCCAGCTGCAAAGCGATTGTTAAACAGCTCCTAATACATTCCCCCTGAGTGCCTGACCATTCCAAAGAACTAGACAAAAATTGATTGACAAGCTTTGTGCGCGGCCCAGTTAGAGAGCGAGAGACAGAGACAGAGAGAGAGCGAGAGAGAGAGAGAGAGAGAGAGCGAGAGACAGTGAGAGAACGAGGAGTGACGGTATTCGCTGTCACCACCTGGCCGAACCATAAACCTAAGCCCCATTGCTGTCGCCGTATTTTTTTTCTCTCTTTTTTTGGAAAAAGCAGCAGGCACTTCCGCTGTGAAACGAGTAACGGTAACCGACGCCATATTGTTTTTGTGTCGTGGGCGGGTTTGGAAGGGAGCTGGCAGCATGCAGCGAGCGTGGATATTGTGGCAGCTTTGTAATGCGGAAGTTTTTGCAAAACCCAAACGGAAATAGAGCAAATATGTTTAAGCGGCTCTTGTTGTTGTTGCTGCTGCTGCACTGAGATGATACGCCAGCTCAGCGGGGGGAGGGGTTCGTTGAGGGGGAAGAACGTTGTGTGCTAAGTTTTAGAGTAATTGATTGAGGTAGATATTCTAATAAACGCTCCTCTGGCGTAATATTATAATAATCTAAACACTTAAGATTACTTCCAGGAAAATTCTTGATAATCTCTATTTGGGCGAATTTTCAATTAGCTTCAAATAGGAATATATGAAAACCTATATGTAATATTTCTGGTTATTAGAATTGAAATATTATACTTTAATTGAGTTCCAAGAAGTATTATAAATTTCCATGTCTTTGCATAATAGAATTTAGTTAGATCTTAAAACAACATTTATTTCAGACAATACTATGTAAAAGAATAGTCTTATTGAATTGATTAGCATTTAGGCCAAGACTTCGAGCCGTTTAGTCTGCCATAACTTAAAATCTTCCTATAGAACTTAACTCTTTAATCTCTCTCTCTCTCTCTCTCTCTCTCTCTGTCTCTCTCTCTGTCTCTCTCTCTGTCTCTCTCTCTGTCTCTCTCTCTCTCTCTCTCTCTCTCTCTCTCTCTCTTTTTCTCTCTTTGTACCTTTCTAATAATTGTTCCTTGCAGACATCGGCACAAAAAGCGTCATCGCCATAAAAAACCCAAAATACTTGTGCAGGATTTGGATACGGAAGTTGTTAAGGTATGCAGCTCCCATATCATTTGCAGGTCTATTCGATAAGTGTCTAATTGCATATTTATTCGGTTAACAGGTGATCGATCCACATGATCTCTCACAGCGCGCACGCTGGACAATCATTGCAACTGCCTGCCTTCTGTTGCTGATGTGCCTCATGCTAATCGGCGTCACATTGCGAATGGCACCCATTATAGATGATATGGGTAAGCGATCTGTAGTTCCTTAAATGTACCCCTTGAATATGATTCATGCCTGCCAAGCAGTGATTCTTAGTCTTAAGCAATGCAACTCTAATGGAACAAGTTTTAGGCAATCATATGTATGAAATATATAGAATTTATATACATATATTTTTAAGCGCGTGTTATCCTTCTTTTGTGCTTCGTCACGGTAAATCGAAGATTTGATGCCCAGCAGCAATTTCTTTGTCTGAAATTGAATTCGATATATTTGCATGTTCCATAAATTTTTGATCTTTTAGAACTGCTGCTAGACTATCGAAATTCAATATGCTTATGTTATATTAACAGTTCACAAATAAAATACAATGCACAATATATTTTATATATAGTTTTTCCTATGGAAAGCGCCCTGAAACCCAAAACTACAACCTAGTGTTAAGCTTTAGCTCTCTAGAACTGTTATATTGTTCGACTGTAAGCTTTTCATGTTAATCTGTTAACATGCTGTTAAATGTTAAGTTTGTGTTAGCACGCTTCTAGAGCTTTTTTGAAGCAACAGCTTTAAAGCTTGTTCTTAAACTTAGGCCTGAGCTTAATGGTTGAGTCGGGGCTTTCGAGAGAGCTTTTGCTCAAACTCTAAAGCTTTCACTCAAACTCAAACTTTACATGCGTTTATGTGTGCCATTGTGTTGCATAACAGCACAGTAATAGCCGCGGAACTAGGACATCGTATCACATGTTGCATTTCGAACACACTCACAACCACACACATAAACAGAATAGATGTTACAGTTGCAGTTGTGTGTGTGTGTGTGTTTGGCATAGATTTGCGTGTTGCTCGATATTTTGGTTGCCTTTACAATTTGCATTGTTGCTCTCAGTTTGTCAGTTGTTGTGCGGATGGTAGCTGACTTGGGCTAGCTTGTGAGGTGGGTGGGGCCAACCTGACTCACATATATGGCCCCACACAGCTGTCAGCATCCAGCATCAATCATAAATTATAATTCACTGACTCGCACAATTTAAGCTTTGAATGGTTTCCAAGTTCTTTTGACAAAGATTAAAATTGTAATCAACTCCCAATTTTTTTTTTTCCTATTTTTGTTTTTTTATAAATAAAAAAAAACACACACATTGTTCTGTGCATCAGAAAATGAAAAATGTGGCATAACGCATGCGAAATAAAGAGTTTTCTGGGCTGTTAAGTTTGCAGTTTTCTCAAATTGTTTTGTCAGCAATTCTGTCTGGCTTACGTGCTTATATACTTAATGTTTCCTGTCCAGAATATTTATATATATATATAAGAACTAGCTATCATTAGAAATCTCTCGATCCTATGGCTTATGTGTCTTTAGCTTATTGGAAGGGGAAAAGACATTAATTTTCACTATATATCTACGCCGTAATATAATACAGTAATATTTCTGCGCGGAGATATATAGTTTAGGAAGTAGGAATTTACATGGATTCCGCGCACAACATTTGTATATTTTTTATGAGAATAGGCTTTCTATAGCTCCCAGTAATCCTATAAATCCTTCTAATATTATTTTCCATCTCTTCTTTATAGTGCATATCTTTGGATTATCCTGTCAAAGAATATTTTGTTTTATGCTTTGCGCCTGCCCACAACACTGCCGATTTCTATCTGCTTTCCTCATCCAGCTTTAAAATATTTAAAATCAGAAAGAGCTCCAGTTAGGGATCCTAAGCAATCTATTGGGACTGACTAACGGCTTTAGGAACTTTTAAGTTTAGCAAGAACTTCAGGCAGGTTTTGTTAAAAATTAATATTAATTTTTATATTGAAACTAAGCAAATGTTCACGGATCTAGCAGAAATATACGTAATTTATTGGGCAACTAGAAAACTGGAAGCTCTTCAATTTAGATCGTCAAAAACAGGACTTACCAGTGTTGATCAATGCCGCGTGGCGCTGGCGAACTTCATTGGGGCCATGTGCTGAAATTAATGAAATGCTGATTAGAAAATGCAGTCAAAGGTGGTCGCTGCTGCTGCGGCTGATAAGCAAAAACCTTATAGGTGTGGCAAGATGTGAAACGGGGCGGGGGCCAGCTGAAGCTGGATGCCGCACTTAATCGGCAACCGCACTGGCCACAATGGGGTGCAGCACAGCGTGACAATGCCTGGTTAAAACTAATTTGTGTGCTGGCTCCCGAGGCTAGCCCAGTCTACAGCCCCAGCAAACACACACACACACGCACACAGACACATACACAGACACACACATACAGTTGCATGCACGAGCGCTCTTTTGGCAAATGGCGAACGTAGACGGAGCTGGTGGTGCATTGTGCGCTGTGCGGCAAAATGTAAAATGCAGTTATGCATTTCTTAAGTTGAATCAGCGGCAATGACAAAGCGGCTGCGGCACAAAGACACGCGGCGTTGACTGCCTTGCTAAGTGCATGTGTTAGTGTGTGTGTGTGTGCTCCTGTGTGTGTGTGTGTGGGGGGGGGGGGAGGACACTCAAAAATGCAAAGAACCCAGCTGAGAAAATGCCGTGAAACTGCGAAGCTGATGACGTCGCTGGCGCTTGACTCTAGCCGCAGCTGCTGCTGCGCTGGGCGTGGCAAAGTTTTTCACTGTGCGCACACAATTTCCGTCCGCCCCCATTTCAGTTTTTTTTTCTGCCCGCGGTCTCAGCTTGTGTGCGCTGTCATTTTTGTTACCGCAGCTGCCTTTTGTTGTTGTTTCATTTAGTTTTGCGGCATAAAACAAATGCACATAGTTCCGCTGGTTATTATCCACTTGCTACCCGCCAAGATGACTAACAATGTGCCCCGTTGGCCGTGTAAGTTCTGCTGCTTCTTGTTCCTTGTTCCTTGTTCTTTTTTTGTTTATTTTTTTTTTTGCCTGGCTTAATCAACACGCTGCTATCGTCAGCGTCAAACGTTGGACGTTTTTTTTTATTGTTGTTTGGACCACAAAAAGCATTCCGATTGCCCGGCAAGAGCCGCAAGTATTTCAGGACCAAATTATTTTCATAGCTTTAGCTTAAAAGCTGAAATGCCGGCAACAGCGTCCGCCACGCTTCTTATCCTTCTCCTGCTACTGCTCCTGCTCCTGCTCCTTCTCCTGTTGTTGTTGTTGTTGCAAACGCATTGCCATTGCCATTGGCCCTTGGCGCTGGCAAAGAATTAAAAATATTTACAGTATTCCAAGTGAGCGAGCGACGGCAGCTGGCAAAACAAACAAGCGCAATCTGCATGACTTGGACGTGGTCCTGGCCAGATCTGAAAGCCAACATTGCAGGAGACAACGCACAAAGGGAATGTCCTATGTGTGTGTGGTGTGTGTGTGTGTGTGTGTGTGTGTCACAGTGCCCAGCCCTTGGCAGCGGTTTACAACAAAAAAAGCATTCCAAACAAATATGAGCAACATAATTTTATAACACACAACCACACACACGCACACACACTCACACACATTCATACACACTCACCCCTGCACACGCCCACACAAATAATATAAGTAAATAAAAAAAATAGACTTGAATATCAGCAAGTTTTTGGGGCCGAGCAAGACGCAACTTTCAGTCAGTTTCCTCTAATTTGTGGCTGAGACCCCGAAAAACAAATATCGACAGCTCGACTGGTTTTTGCCTCGTTGTCCCCAGCTGCTGGGCTTACTTAGTTCTGTGGCTCTGTCATGGATTAAGTCCTTGTGAACTTTTCGTGATTAATGATGCTTTGAAAACTTGTCATTATTTGACTGCCATCCACTTCACATCCCCCCTACTCCTGCCCCCCCCTTAGCTTTTCGCTTTGCGAATTGTGTTTGTGTATCTATTTAGTGGGCGCGTCATTTGCATCTATGTTTGGGGAATTCATCATTAAAATTGTACTTCAGGCAGCTGCCTATTAGTCTAGCTAAGCCGCTCTGATTATGTAGCTGTTATTTTGCATATATACTATAATAAGATTCGCTGCGCCTTTCTATGCGATTTTCATAACATTAAGTACAGATTACTGGACTTTAATCAATTCTGGCATATTTCCTTTCGCATTAACTGAGTAGTTATGTCTCAGCTTCTCTCTCTGTCGCTTTCTTATCTCCTCTTATCTCTTGCTTTAAATGTCACCTTTCTATGCGATTCTCATAAATTCAAGTGAGGTCTCTTGTTTAATCTGCTGCTTAAATAAGCGAAAAATAGAATTACATTTTTATATTTCCTTATATATCGAGGTTTGCGTGTTGCTGCTGCTTTCATTTCTTGAATGCTGTTTGCTCCTTGAGGTTCTTGACGTTCGTGCTCAAAGCGTTTAAATGCTGTGCAATTGGTTTTGATTTCCTTTGCGGCCCCACACTGTTTTAATTGAGGCTGGCTGGCAAAGTGCCTGGCGAAAAGCCAGGAAAAAGCAAATGAAATTAGGCATATTTAAGCAGTGACTTAAGTGGAAATTTCTGCTTGTAAATGTATAATCAGTGCAGACAGTCAAAATAGACGACCAACAAGCTATGTATTTGTTACAGACACCAGCTTGAAGCCACCGCGGCTAATGAGTTCCAGCCACAAACAAAAGCCGGGGTGTGAAACCCTAATGAGATGAATGCGCTTTAAAAATTTTCTCAAATATTTGGCAATTATTTAGTTTGCGGGCTTTTCGATAGCGTTTGAAAGTCCCGACATTATAATAAGTGGCCAGAACATTGCGGCAAATGGGTGTAGAACATAAAAAGTTGGCGGCGTGAATCGACAGCTACACAAAAATCAAAAAAACACCAACTGGCCGCACGTTCTGCGGGTGCTGTGTGTGTGTGTGTGTGTGAGAGTGTGTGTGTGGGGCGGGGGCGTTGGGCGTGTCAAAAGACAAACGCCAGAGCAGCTGCGGGTCAGCGGCTGCAAGTCGCTGTTGTCTTTTTTAAATGCTCATTACAAAACGGAATTGGCCAAAAAAAAAAATGAAAAGTTTTGATAAAAATCCTATTATAAACATAAATAAATAGAGTGCCAGCAGGGCAGGCAAATGCCAGGCCCGCACACACAGCAACAGGAC